TTGTTTTTTCGGCGCCGTTTTGGTTTTCGGTGATTTTTTTGTGTTTGGCGACCCGTTGGCTGTCGGCTCTCTATTGGTTTTCGGCGCCCCTTTTGGTCTCTGGCGTCCTTTTCAAGTTCGGCGACCTAATGGTTTTTACCGCTTTGGGAGGTTTTGGGTGCTTTTTGGTTTTCGGCGCCCTTTTGGTGTTCGGCGCTGCTCTGGTTTTCGGCGCTCTTTTGGTTTTCGGCGTCTCCTTGGTTTTCTGCGCCCCGCAGGTTTTCGGGGCCTTTTTGTTGTTTTTGGCGCCTCTTTGGTTTTCGGCGTTCGTTCGGTGTTCGGCACCTTTTGGTTTTCGGTGCCTCTTTGCTTTTCGGCGCTCTTTTGGTTGTCGGCGCTCCTTTGGTTTTTGGCCCCCTTTTGGTTGTCGGCGCGCTTTTGGTTTTCGGCGTCCATGTGGTTTTCGGCGCACCTTTGGGTTTCGGTGCTCCTTGGGTTTTCGGCGCATCTTTGGTTATCGGCGCCGTTTGGGTTTTCGGTGCCCTCTCGGTCTTAGGCGTTTCTTTGGTTTTCAGCGCCCTCTGGTTGTCACACCCTTTCGGTTTGCGATGGCTCCTTGGTTTTCAGGGATGGGGGTGGTAGCTTCCGAGGGGCAGAACAATGGAGGGGGGGGGCTTCCGGCAGGGCAGGTCACAGGGGGCAGCTACGGGGGGGCCCCCTTTTCTGAGAGTGGGCCGCGGGCGCGCTCTCTTTCACCTACGCGGACCAGCTCAGAGATTCATATACCAGTGCCAGGCAGCGGCAATGGTAACATGGCGGCGGCGAGCAGCAGTGCATGATGAATTGCTCCTATACAAGATACCCGCGAGGCCGCCAACAAGGCCTCTAGGGCCCCCCAAGACGTTCAAGAGGCCCCCAGGAGGTGCGAAATTAGGCCGAAAGAAGCCCCAAACATGCCCATGAGCCTTCAAAATTGATGTCAGACGCCCCCGAGAAGGCGTCCATGCCCTGCCCCAAAAAAATTGCCTGCGATTCCCGGCCGTGCCCCCCAGCATGCCGTCAAGAAGCTCACAGAAGAAGAGATAACCACCCAAGAAGCCCCAACACGCCCCAGGAGACCTGCAAATGCAAGTTTTTAATTCACGGCCCCAAGAGCACCAAACCGCAATCCTAGACCGGCGAAGACACCAGAGGATCGCCAGAGAAACTACGAAAACATGCCATGCGCCAGCCTAAGCGATTCTCCGATGGGATGATTTCTGGACGGCCTTTTCGATTCCTGCAGGTTCTCGGCTCTGGGGTGCTTCCCATGGGCTCAGCCTCGTCGAAGGCGCTCTGGGGGCGGTCTAACCCTCCCGAGTGGCCGCCTGAGGCCGGGGCTTCCGCCCAGTAGCAAATTTGGATGATGAGGAGGATGGTTTCCCGGCGTCTCGCGTTGGCGTGCGACTCGTCCTCCCCAATGCTCGCAAGCCGCCGATGCACTTGTGGCCCCCCACGGAGGACTTGAGCTCCTCGGTCTGAACCTGCGACCGCTCAATCTGGGCACTGCGACTGGCTAAACACTATGATGCAAATTATTTTCTGCGGGTCGCCAGAACTACTGACTGAGCCGCGCCAGTGTTTCGCGCGGGGGCCTGGGGGCTTGTGGGCGAAACTCGCATGACTGGCGCCTTGTTGGGCCAAGAAGGTTACAGATGCTCTGCCGCGCATGCGACTCTATTGCTCTCATGGCCAATTCTCCTGCTCAGCAATTTCTCAGACACGAGCATGGAGCAGAACGTATCATCCGAGTGTTGGAACTACAGCAACGTCTGCGATACAAATGTGCGCAGGTGTTTGATCATCGATTCGCTGGAACTACAGTCAACGCGCCAAGTAAGGACGCGCGCCTTCATCTAAGGTGTTCTTGTGTCCTTGTATCTGCAGCCAGTCTCTGGCCGTTTTCAGTGGTCGCCAGTCGCCCAAAAAATCCCAACTCCGGGTTCCAAGGGTCTTGCGTCCTTACCACGCGTCCTGAATACACGTTTGGACCGTATTGCTATACCATGCTCTTCCCACCGACCATCACCAAATTTCCATCCATTATATGGCACTGCCTGGGCAGAGGGCCCCCCGGCGGACCAGGCCTGACTGATGTCGACAGGTCCTATGATGCCCTTGACCAAATGGGGCCACCTGTCCACGATTTCCTTGCCCTTGACAAAAGGGCGCCACCTGTCCACGATCCCCTTCAGGACAGCCTGCGGACTGCTCATCCACAAAATGTGACTGCATGGGAGTTTCAGCCAGAAAGTCATCATTACCTCCTGCACCGTTGCATCCATTGGCGGGGGCCTGTGTTACTCGGTTGCACCCGCTCACACCACCACCGACTCCAGGAGCCCATGGTGAGAGAACGCGCTAAGCAACTCTGACTTTGCTGCTGCAAATGTGGCAGCCGAGCTACTCCTCACGCGGAGTCTGTAAACCTCGGCGGTGGGCCAATTTTCAGGGACTGTTCTTGGGTGCGCACTGGATGGCGCCAGCGGCACCTTTCGGCTGGAGTCCTATACGGCTTGACATCCAGCACATTCCTCGCGTGGAACCACGCCCCTTTGAACACATTGACGTCCAGCATGATTATCTCGGTCTTGCTCCAAGACTTCATGCTTATCTGGTACACCACTGCCGCCAGAGCTTGAACTCACGAAACCACTCGCCGAACAGATGCGCACTCTGATTAGCAGGTCATCACGGTACCAGATGTATTCTAATAGTTGGTACGTCGCGCGCACGTTCAGTCTGCATACAAAGTTGCGTTCGAACAACTCATAGACAAAAACACGTCGCTCAATTCGCCACGATGTGCTTGTCTGATTCCGCTTCCTGCCCAGACCTACCATGTTAAATGTTCCTCCAGGTGGCCGTTGCCCACGTACGGGTGGTATAAACTGTACTCGAGCAAAGCACCCAATGTTTGTCGGTATGGATTTTTGAAGAGGCTTAACCGTGGCGTACAATCAATCTGCGTACCCCGTCAAATAGGAACCCGTGATGTCCAACTTCACAAATTGGCAATCTTTTTGGGGATATTCACGAAGGTAAGCGTTGGAGAAGCTCATCCGTACTTCGGACAAGGTGACCTAGCGGAGCTAAGTTGGCTTTCAATTCCTGCCCAAGCACTCCCGACATTGCCGCAAACGGATGGAAGGCACTTGAGAGTATCAGTGTCAACGACATTACCTGTGTTCGTGTAAGCCCTGAACGTAGATAGCAGATTGCTCACCAGGCGTCCTGGTTTGCGTCAGCACACGGTTTTGAACGCAACCGACCTGAAACCAGCATTTTCCACGGTTTTCGCAAGTTGTGCCATGAGTTTCAGATACCCTTTTATTCTGGCATGTATGTTGAGATTGAATGCGTGCGTCTCTTCATACACTGGTGATGTGAGCGTTTCCCGAATTTATGGGCGAATCCATGGCTCCGCAATCTAACGAAATCCACCATCTGTATCTGTGGGAATGCAGTGTAATGGAAAGTCGCTGAGCGACTGGATCTTGTACACCCGAAGTTGAGACCAAATCTGCATGAATGATTGAGGATGGGGTTCCCGGCGTCTCGAGTCTGCGTGCGACTCGTCCTCCCCAGCGTTCGCAAGCCGATGCACCTGCGGCCTCCTGCGGAGGCCTTGAGCTCCTAGGTCTGAACCTGCGACCGCTGAAATCCAAGCTCGAGCCGTCATGGGTACAGCGTGCCAGCTACGTTGCCTGCTCGCTCCCCCCTCCGCACCCCCTCCCCCTGCCCGTCCCCATGCCCCGTAGCACAAAAATGAACCAGAGTTTCGGCCACGTTCGCTGGACAACCCCCTGGTAATCGAATTGCGCCTGGTCGAAGGCGGAGGGAAAAGGGCATCAATATGTCTTAAATCTTGACGGTCAATTTCTGGCCCCCTGAGCGGGCCAGCCAGGCTCAGGAAAGGAGGAGACCCACTCTGCGCAACAGCATCGGGCATGATGCGTTGACTACGGGGCTCACGCATCACAAGGGAGTCTGCTCGTACAGAACAAGACACGGATACGATCATACGTCAAATTCCCGATCATATAGGATGAGGAGGAGGAGGAGGAGGAGGAGGAGAAGGAGGAGGAGGAGGAGGAGAAGGACGCAAACGGAAGGCGTTCGCGCGCGGCCCCGCTTCCGACGACTTGGAGAAGGGAAAGCTACGCGTGCCAAGCAGGGGCGGGAGCTCCAAAACTTCCAATGGGCGCGGCGAAGACGAAGCATGCGCCGCGCTGACGCAGCACGGCCACGTTCACTGACAAGCTGCGCGGCGCTTGGGCGATGTCGGCATTTCGCCCGCTCTCGCGCGGCCCCGTTGCCGCTGTCGTTGTCACACGATTCGGCGAACGAGCCATGCGCCGCGCCCGCGCGGGACACCACTGCCGTGCGAGATGCGCACGGAGCTTGGTCGAGGGCGACAGGTCGCCCACGGACGCGGGCCCCAAGAAATCTGCGAAAACAACAGATGCGCCGCTTCCACGCGGGAGCGCCACTTTCAGACGAAGTCAGCGCGGCGCCGAGGCGAGAGCTACATGTTCGTCGTTCGCGCGTCGACGCAGCGGCGTGCAAAAAATGCGCGCCACGCCAGAGCGGGAGATCCATTCTTTAGAACCATGAGCGCGCGACCGCAACGAGAGCGACAGTGCGGCCTTTCGCGCGGGATGTGCGCCCTTTTTCCACTCCTACCTCGCATTTCACTACACGGACGACATAATTCCCATGCTTCGTTGTTTTCATGCGACATATGGAGGGTCCGAGAGTGGGCCCCCTATTGGGCGGTTGCCGTGGGGAGTAGGAGTGTACACGAAGAAGGAAGAAGGATGGGGAGAGGGGAATGATGATGAGGAGGAGGGCGAGCGAGAATGAGACGAATGGGACTACGATATGAAGTGTAGGCATCGGATGAGCACGACGCAGCCGCCCTGGACTAGAACCTGACCGCGGGCGAAGCGCGCACGCGCGCGCGTTTTCCTAGTTCAAACAGACCCGCGCGTCCTCGGTGTGCCACCCGCGCCTTCCAACGCACAGCCTTCCTCCTTCCCCCAGTCCTCCATCCTCCCGATCATCCCTTTGGTGCTGTTTTCCTTGTCCCGTGGCTTGTAGCATGGACGCGATAGACGGCGCAGCCGGTCCGCCCGATGTTGTACGATGCTCGCAGTGTTTCACATACAATGTCTGCTGCGCCTATCTGGCGGGGAGATTAACGAGAGCATGGAGTGCCAGCAGCTGGAGCTGGGCCTCAAGTCTGCACCGCGTGATGGCACCGATGAGTAGAATTACACATGGCTGCAACGTACACTGCCCCTTTTTTAATACACGGTCGGTTTTTCCCAGCCATGGCTGGTTCTACGCAATACGCGCGTAAGTTGCTCTGGTGCTAGACCAGTATAGGGTTTTCCGTTTTCCTGACGCCTATTTATATAAATGGTCGGTAGTGCCATCGAGGATGCCTTCACGAAGCATTTGCCCGACCATCCTGCGTCTTTGGCCTTCTGTTTGAATAAAGGACTGGTGTCTTCTCCTTTCTTCCTCCCGCTTCTCTTATCCCTCCTCATGCCATCCCTTCTCGCTCCGTCATCCTGCCTCCTCCCTTGTGTCTTCATCGTTGGTTCCCTGCTCTTGACTCCTACCTCATACCTGCCTCTTGGATGCTTCCTCCTCCTCCTCCTCCTCCTCCTCCTCCTCCTCCTCCTCCGCCTAGCCTGCATCTTGGATACGTTCTACCTCGCATCCCTGGGGCTGCCGACTGCACAATCGTCGCCATGTTCGCGAGTCCATGCTGGCAGTTTCGCACTAAGCATATGTGAGAATTGCCCGCGTCTGAACTTAATATGATTGGTTTGCCCAACTCTCCTCGCAGTTTGGAGTCGCTACTGCGCTCCTCATCCTCATCCTTCCTCCTCCTCCTCCTCGCACTCGCCCCTCCTCCTCCTCCCCTCCTCCTCATCATCACCATCAGCATCAGCATCATCATCATCACCATCATCATCCTCGTCCTCCTCCTCCTCCTCCTGGTTGTTGTCCTCATGCTCCTGATGTTATTCCTCCTCCTCCTCCTCCTCCTCCTCCTCCTCGTTCTGGCATCGGTATACCTGCCCGTTCAGGCCACCATGTCCTCCATCCATCGACTCCTCCCCTTTCTCCCCCTGCAAGTCCTCCCCCCCTCCTCCCCTCCCCCTGCTCATTGAAAGCGTTTGCGCGTAGGTCGACCACGAGCTGCTCCAACACCCGACAGGCGCGTCGGGGTGCACTGCGCTCCGAGGGAAAGGGAGAGGAAGAGGAGGAGGAGGAGGAGGAGGAGGAGAAGGAGGAGGAGGAGGAGGAGGAGGAGGAGGAGATTGAGGAGATGTAGGAGGAGGAGGAGGAGGAGGAAGAAGAAGAAGAGAAGGAGGAGGAGGAGGAGGAGGAGGAGGAGGAGGAGGAGGAGGAGGAGGAGATGGAGGAGGAGGAGGAGGAGGAGGAGGAGGAGGAGGAGGAGGAGATGGAGGAGGAGGAGGAGGAGGAGGAGGAGGAGGAGGAGAAGGAGGAAAGGGAGGAAGAAGAGGCAGTAACGCTCCGCGCTGGCCCCAGCAGCCAGGGCAGAGGCACCCTACTGCTTCGCATGGCTTGGGAGGGGGAGCAGGATACCGTCGACGAGGACGAAGGTGAGGAGGGTATGGGGGAGGAGGAGAAGGAGGAGGAGGAGGAAGATTGGATTTGATTGGATTGGAGTGGATTGCGTTTCATCAGAGAACGAGTCAAATTGCTCGTAATCATCATAAGGATTACACTGCGCATCCTTGTAAAATATTGCAGCCGCTTGCTGCACCGAAAACTATTGCAGTCATTTGCTGCGCAGCCCTGCAAACTGTTGGCTCAAGAGACCAGCTCAAGACTGACCCCGTCAATCCCATCATACCCTGTAAATCCCATTATTGTACCCCCGCATCCCCCCATTCCAAAAAAAACTCTGCACGAAAAGACCAGCTGCATCTTTCACAACTGCTCTTGCAATCAAGTTCTTGCTGGGGGGCAGGAGTCATCCGCCTCCGTCCGGCCGAACAGTCCGGAGCGTAGCATGTAGCCAGATTTTCTCCCCTGGATTTCGCATACATATCCGAGCCCAGGTTTCATGCTCGGCGTTGCGTGTTGAGTCCGAGCCCAGACTACGTGCTCGGTATTCTTTATGGCTCAGAGGTAAAACATTTGCCCCCTCTCTTGCTGCCGCAGTGGTAGCAGAGCGGGGTTCCGCCCGCGGGCCATGGGCGTCGGCCTCGTAAGGTAGCTGGCAGACGTTGCTGGCTGTCCGACGAGGACCTTGGCGCCTGCGTTCCCCGGGCGAGCCTCGCTCCCACGAGCTGGGTAGTGAGGGATCCCCAGGCGGCGTCATGCCCGCAGACGACGAGGCAGGAAACGAAGGCGACGAGGCCGCTCCGGCGGGCAGCGGCGCGGCTGCTACCGCCAGCGGGGGAGCCCGCGCGGCTGCAGCTGCCCCAGCGGACGGAGGCAGCGCGGCGGCGGCGGCCACGGCAGGAGACGGAGCCAGAGTCGCCATGGGCCTCTCCCGGGGCGGGCTGGCGGCGATGATCAAGGGCATAGTGACCGACACCATGAGATCGACGATTGCTGGCCAGACGGTGGAGCAGGCCCTGCCGTCATCCGACGGATGGGAGAAGACCGACCCTTGGACGAAAAGGTCGTGAGAGGGAGGCCGCGGAGAGCTCAGGTGGCCCGTGAGATATTCCCAGGGCGAGCGAAGCAGCAGCAGAGCAGAGCTGGCGCAGCAGCTGGGCCTGGGCGGGGGATGCCTGGGTCTCAGGCAACGACTGGAGCCAGGGCTGGGGCTACGGCGGTGGTGGCGGCAGCAGTTGGGCCAGTCGCGGCGATTATAGTGACCCACCAGCTTGGCCAGGCTGGGCGCATTTCCGGTCGACGGCACAGGTCAGAGAAATCCTTTAAGGTGTTCGATTGGGCGTTCCAGTCAAAGTTTGAGGATTCGACAGAGTGGGCTACGCTGACCAGAGAAGGTTGGCTGGACACGGTGTCATGGACTTCATTGTCGGCGAGAGAGAAGGCGACGAGCTGAGACTATCGGGGCGGAAAAAATCTATATTATCAGAGAGGCCTAAGCCCCACGCAGTTCGCAACGCGCATGGAGGCGCAACTCTTAGAAGCGGAAAGCTGGACCCACCAACAGCCATCGAAAGTGGGATAGCTTCGCAGATCGCAGCCCCCCAGGGACGGCGAGGTCTCGCTCAGATCCGCGCGGTGCCTCACTCCGCTGAGCCCACCAGCAGCCCTCGAAAGTGGCGACAGTTTCGCAGATCGCAGCCCCCCCCTCAAGTGACGGCGAGGTCGGAGGCAGACACCGCATGCAAGATGCATACACAAGAGGTGCGCACGAGGCGAGAGGAGACAAAAGGGAGGCGGGAGGCGGGAGGCGGGAGGCGGGACGAGATGGACGCGCGAGCAGTGATCTGTTCAAGACGAATACCCAACCAAGGAGGGTTGGGAAAGAAATAAAGAAATTAGAAGAAGAAGAAGAGGATTCAAAAACAACAAAAAAACGAAACGAACACACACACACACACACACACACACACACACACACACACACACACACACACACACACAACACACACACACAAAAAAACACACAAAAAAAACAAACCCAAGCACAAACACACACACACACACACACACACGCGCAGCCAGTTTGGCTCTAGCGGCCCCTGCAATGGCGGCGTCGTGCGACGACGGCAAAGGAACGGTGGCTGCGGGAGGGGGCCCTCGAAGGCTCCCCCGCTCGCGTGCCGAGCGCAGCGAGGCGGCGCGGCGCGCTCGGGCCGCGGCCGACGCGGCCGCGCGGCACGCCCGCCAGCGCGCCAGCGACTTCGGGAAGGAGCTAGCCGAGCTCAAGGAGGCGGTGGCGGTCCTCCTAGGCGACGCGGAGGTCGGAGACAGGGTCGCGGCGCTCATCCCGGCGCCCGCGGCGAGGCTGGCAGGCCGCGCCCCTGAGCACACCGACCAGCTGAGGCGCAACGTCGCGCTGCATGCCGAGACCCCTGCCGGGGCGCCGCCGCGGGAGCCGAGGCCGAGGTGGTCAGCGACGACGCCGACGGCGGCCTCGGCGAGACCCTCGAAGGGGAGCGAGCGCGGCGCCCAGGACTCCCGGCACTTCGGCGGCCAGGCCGAGCCGCGGGTGACCCAGCGGGACTCTCCCGCCGAGGAGTCGCGGCTGGCCGCGGCCTGCGAGGGGCCGCAGGGCGGCGCCTCCCAACAGGGGCGGTCCAGCCCCTCGTTGATGCAGCGCGCGGACTTGCACCGCCCGGGGAAGAGCTTCCAGGATTGGTGGGAGTGGTTGCCGTACCTCCGCGACGACGCGGGCGAGTTGGAGCACGAGGGTCCCCTAGAGGGCTACCAGGTGGCCAGCCCCCTCGGCGTGGACGGCCATGCCACCGCCAGCCCGGCGGAGCAGGGCTTCGGCATGGCCGCTCAGCCTCGAGCGGAAGCCGATGCGAGCTCGCCCCACTTGGGCGCTCGTCATGTGCTTCGTGGAGTGGCCTGAAAGATGGCGGTAAGACCCCATCCACGGCGGCTTCAGGCGCCGTCGTTGTCGTCAGCGCGGAGGGCGCTGGGGCGCAGCAGGCGCAGTACGGGGAGGCGACCGTGCAGGGCAGCCCCAGGCACGTCGTCTGGACGAAGATCCTGCGCGCAGAGGCCCTCCCAGGAGCTCGGGCGGACGGTTTCCTGGATGCCCTCAGGATGGTGCTGGACGGCGGCGGAGGGGGCCCCATAGACTTGGCGGCAACCAGCTGGCTGCCAGCTGCTTGGTGCACCGTCGCTGCGGAGAGGCAGGCCTGGAGGCAAAGCCGCCCGTCTCGTACGGGGCGGCCCTTTGTCGCGAGGCGCCGCGCCCTCCCGGACGGGACCATGCGCATCAGTTTCGAAGTGCGCGATTGTCCGCGTCGTGCCAGGCCTCGGCGCGGAAGCCCCATCGCGCAGCTCGAGGGCCAGCTGCGTGGATGGCCCCATCGAGGGCGGCTCGGGCCCAGTAGGCCGCAGCCGACTTCGGCAGCAAGAGTGCCAGCTGCATGGATGGCCTCACGGTTGCCGGGGCGGCCGCTGGCCTGCGCCTCCTCGTGGGGAGCGGGTTCCGCCTCTGAGGCGGTGCCCCCCTTGGCGCTGTGTCCGCCGTGGCTGAGGGGCCTGAGGGGCGCGCGCCCCTTGGGGTTGCCGGGGCCCGCATTCGCCGTTGGCGGGGCCTGGGCTCGGCGGAGCAGCCTCGCACTTTTGTGCACCCCTCGGAGCTGTCGTGCTCAGGGGCCCGGGGCGGGGTGCGGTCCCCAGTGGGCCCTGGATGCGCCACCCTGGGGCGCTGGGGGGGCGCGCCCCCTGGCACGGCGGGCGGGGAGGCCCAGTGGCCCCCCGGTCGTGGCTCGGCAGGCTCGGCGGCCCGAGGGCGCAGCGCAGGGCCCGCGGGCCCGAAGGCTGCGGCGAGGCGCGGACGCCCCGCAGTGTCCGATCACCAGAATCACCAGAAACACACACACACAAACACACACACA